CAAATTTATTAGAGCATAAGCTTTCGTGGACTACAGCCCACTTCTTCGGATGCATAGTGGGAAGTGGGCTGTAGTCCACGAAAGCTTATGCTCTAATAAATGTGTTAGTCTCTAAGGTGCCACAAGTACTCCTGTTCTTTTTGCGGATACAGACTAACACGGCTGCTACTCTGAAACCTGTCATAAGAATATATGTGCTGGAGGAGCCTCCCCATCCCTTGGTTGATTTGCCTCCCTGTTTAAAAGAAGGGGCCATTTTTTATTTACTGTGATTCAGTTCTGCCATGTAAAACAGAGAAATATTTTCACATCCTTAACTTTAAAAAACACACCTTTTGCCATTTCTACATCTGCCGTAGGCCGAGATTTCGGAAAGTCATGACCGATGATAGAGACAAAGGTTAAGGTGCGTTCCCCAGGAGACCTGAATTTTAAGCCCCTAGTTTCATAGTATTTCCTACTGCACAGCGGTTTGGGAGGGTAATAAACACACTAAAGGTTACCAAGTGCTCAGGTACAGGGCTGTGGAGAGAAATTTGGGGCCCTGGTACCCCCCCTCATCACGACAGTTACAGATGTTTTGGGGGACCGATTGTCCCCCTTCTTGTCCGCTCTGCTCAGACACTATGGAAACGGGACCCAGGTGTCTATTTTAGGTCGATCTTTGAGGGCTCAACATAGTGCAGAAATTCCTGCGTGAAGTGGCTTTAAACCTCCGTGGGACGTCTCCTCTTCAAACCGGGCTCGACGCCCTAAAAATCAGGCCTTTTTTACGGTGTTTCGCCTTCGCCGTCCAGAATCCATTTTCTGGCAGGAGGTCTTTCCGTGGTTATCTAGACAGCAAAAGTCAAAAACACCCCGGCACTGGAGGGTGGACGCTTCACCCAAAAGCCATCGCTCCGTGTCTGACCTCTAAGGCTTCGTTCGCAAAGCAAATCCTTCCCTCCTGCCAGGCTCTGTACGGACGCATAGTAAGAGGCGGGTCCATACCCCAAAGAGCTCGCAAATAGGCAAGTCAGAGGAAGGGTGGGAGGCGGTAACCCGGGGTTGCAGGTTAGATCGGTGGCTGATCTGGGGCTAGAACGCAGGTGTTCTGCCTTAGTCGCTACCCCCAGGCAGCTTCTTGAAACGCTGGATTTGGGCCGGAGGAAATCCGGGGTTTGAGTCCCCGCTCTGATGCAGTCTTCCTGCATGACTGTGCGGCGCATCTTCGATTTGTGCCTCGGTTTCCCTCCTGCCCCTCCCGCTAGCCATCCTTCCTTTCTCCGGCCAGTCTGTTTAAAATGGCAAGCGCTATGGGGCAGGGAGCGTCTGGGAGAGAGGATGTGAGTGCGTGTCCGGATACGTACAGCTCCCGGCGCAACGTGGCCCCAAACTCCGTTAGGGACCCGCTGGTGGGGCCGACAAACGCGTCTGTTTTAATTCGGCTCCCTGCTGCTGCCGGGGCCTCGGCCCGTGCTCTCCGCTGCCCGGAGGAAACCAACTCCCCTGTTTTCAGCCGGGGAAGTCAGCCTGCGGGCTTTTCCTGCGGGGCCACGCCTGGTTTCGGTCTTGTCTCATCCCTGTGTGTGCGCAAGGGAAAACCCGCTGTGCTCCAGGCTTTTCCATCCGTGTTGTGAGGATGGAAAGGGAGAACTGGATGCAGTGAGGGGTTGTCTAGATTCGTAGGTTTTTTATTTATTTTTCCTAAGCCCAGAAGCAGTCATTGTAATCATCTGCTCCGATTCTCTTCCTGGGTGTTCCTGACAGTCACTTTATGATGCAACTGTTTGCTCTAGGTAGAAAGGACTTTGCTCTGCCTACCTGCTCGCTGGGCAATGAACCCACGACGCCTGTTCCCAGCAGGCGATAGTAAAAGCGATGCCCTCTGGCAGATCGGGCTTCCCCCCCACTGTAAATTACAACGTTTGCAGTGCAGAAACATTTTCGGGGGAGTTGAAACCAAAAAATGTTTAGGGGACCAGCTTTTTATTTCAGACTGAAGCATGTCCCTTAGAAAGTAGGGCCGACCCGTGCTTTTCACGTGGGAGTCTGTTTATCGCAGGGCTGTATGCCGCCACCCGTTTTCAGCGTCGGGGGAGTGTCTTCCTTGTAAATCACCAAACAGCATCCTATAGTGGATGTCTGGGATTCTTGAGTATTTTTTTTTTTAAGGCTGGAAGGGACCATGTAATCTGACCTCCTGTAAAATATCGGCACGTAAGAGCGTCAGACCATGGCCTGTCTTGCCCAGGACCCTCTGTCCGACAATGGCCCGTACCAGAGCTGCAGAAAAGTGCGTGATTCCACCTTGTCCTCCGCTCCTGGCTTCTGGGAGTCAGAGGTCTAGTGTTGCCCTGAGCACGGGTTGCCTCCGAACATATCTAGTTCCCTTTCAAACCCGATTGGCCGTCACAGCATCCCCTGGCGAGGAGTTCCACAGGTTACTTGTGTGACAAAGCACTTCCCCTTGTTTGTGTTAAACCTGCCGCCTATGAATTCCACCATAGGTGACCTCCTGTTTTTGTGTCGTGTGAAAGAACAAAATCACATTTCTCACTTTGCTTTTTCCACATCCTTTTTATGAGTTTTTAGACCTCTCTCATGTCCCCCTTAATGGGGGCTGTTCAGCTTGGTAAGGAGACCATCTTTTTAGTCTCTCCTTGTATGGAAGTTATTTGACTCCCTGGGGAGATCCTTGGGGGACCCTGCTTTTTGTGTGTCTCCGTTGTAAAAACTGACCACTTTATTCCTATCCTTTGTTTCCCATCTTGCAACCACTTAGTGATCCGTGAGATGTGTCTACATTGGACAAAAAAAACTCAACCCACAGTAGTGAATCTCAGATCTTGGGTTAGCTGACGGAAGACTTCTAAAATGATGCATCTCAGGTTGTTAATAACACGGACGGGAAATTTTTATTTTTTATAATTTCGATGGATAATATCCATGTTTGTTGTTAAGCATTTTTCCCCCCAGTTTTTCTCCATTTAAAATTTGACAGGTGTGAAAAATTATGAGTTTTTAAGCCTTTTTGACTCTCTGTATTGATTTTAAATTTGCATGGCCATGGGAAATTACGGGACCGATCAGACAACTGTCAGCGACTGTAGCCACCGATGTTCAGAAAGTTACAGCTTTATAACCATTAGAACGCAAATCGTCAACGGCACATCCTTAAATCAAACGGCCAGGCTCGCAAGCAGCCTTTTGATGTGTCTGCCTAGCTGGAAATTTCAGTTGCAATGGACGGGGGATTTTTTCCCTCCTTTGGTTTTTTGTGACGACCGTGAAATTGACATTTACCGACCAAAATGTGATTCGTCCAAACCGAAGTATATAAATGTCACCTTTTACACCAGTCTTAAACGCTTCCACGCTGGGCTTATCTGGTATAACGGCTGGTCCACAAACCACACCCCGAACAGAGATAGTTATGCTGGTACAAATCCACTTTGGAGGCCAAGCCTTGGTTGAAAAATTGCAGTTTGCACATGCTCATGAGAGGCAGCTCAGCGCTTAGCAGCTAAAATCTAGGCGAGTGTGTGTGACTTGAAAAACAAGGGGGCGTTGACGTTTAGGATACGCCGATTGCTGGGCTTAATAATTGTGCTAACGCGGCGCATTAAAAAGTCCGGCGATGTCTTGCTGGTTTCCAGGAGCTTTATTGTTTAATGGAGCTTGGTTGGAAGGGAAGGAATTCAAGTCTACACCGTCACTCAAAAGCAGTCCGCAGGTCAGAGGTGAAAGACCTTCGCAGGGTGTTGTGGGTAACTTCTGCCTTGCCATCTGGAGGGTTAAAACCACAATTTGCGTTAAAATGATTGGAAGATGGCGCTACATCTATATTTAGTTGTGCAATCCACGTGAGGCTGGTGGCGGTGCGTTTTCTCTCTTCTCCCCCGTGCTTCGATGAGAACAGCTGAAAACTTATTTTTAGTTCTGCTCGATGTCCTTGTTCATCACGCAGGCTAACGATTTTCTCTTGGCCGCCGAAAAGCCCTTGGAGTCCCCTTCAGCCGGGCAATGCAGATTTGGGTTAAAGGGACTTGGAACCAAAGGGGAGATTTTTACAGTCTAATCCCTGGTGTGACTTCTGATTGCTCAACTTGGCTGGTGTTCCTCCGAGACTGGCTTCACTGGGTGGTGCTGGAGGGGAACCGTGTTCTTAACTTACGTTAGCTACAATCCCAGGAAAGGCCAAGGCAGCGTGTGGTTTTCACGCTCGGATTTTACTCCATGTTAGCTACCACCAGTTAAGAATGCACCTTCCCCCCCCCCCCCTTTTACTGAAGACAAGACCTAAATGAGACGTGGTCAAGGTAAGACAAAGCCCCAGATATTGGGCCTGTCCCTATAAAATTGAGACATCGGACCTCAGTGGAATCTCAGTTCAAAATGAGTTCGGCGTTTCTCTAGTTTGCTACTTACAGGCCGTTGATCCGAGGGCAAGCGGCTGCAGCTGGATACATTTCAGGCTGTAGATTTTTAACACAGAGGGGAATTGACCACAGAAACAGCTCACCCAGGGACAGGTTGGGTTCTCTGTCACGGGAAGCCTTTACATCCAGATTAGCTATATATGCTAGCTCGCCCATCAGATAGGGGCTGCATGCAGGGATCGCTGGGGGCAGTGCTCTGGCCCGTGGGATGTGGAAGTGGGACTGGCTGAGCGTAATGGGTTCCTTGTAACTCTAGGAATCTGCTACTCCCGTTTGATTGTAAGCTGGCTGGGGCAGGGCTCATCTCTGTGGTCTGTGTTGGTACAGTGCCTAGCACCGTGGGGCTCTTGCAGGACAGATGAGGGACACTGAGGCTCTGAGAGGAAGTGAATTGTGCCGCGCAGTCCGGAACTGAGTCCAGATCTCTCGAGTCAGCGCCCCGGGACCATCCTTGTTCTCAGTTCCCGCCGGGACGGTGCATCGGCCGCGTCCAGGCAGCCCAGCTGGGGTGGACTGGGTACTCTGCCAGGCGCGTGTGTGTCTGGGACGGGACAGCCAGCCTGCGCGAAGCCTGAATGCCCCGCCCCGCCGGGAGTGAGGTGACTCACGGCCTTTGTCCGCTCAGCCCTCGGCACGCCCGGCTGCTGTTTGCCTATTGGCCCTGCCCAGATGCAATTCCAGTCGGCTTCTTGCCTTGGGCCCGTGTCTGACGCCGCGCGGCGAGGCCGACGTCCGCCGTCTCGCTGGTGGGAGCGTCTTCTCTGACATTGGGCCCCTGCTGATGGACGTTCCTCTCTACGCCGTCCTAATCTCTCCGCAGCCCGGGCGAAGGTGACCCGCTCGGGGAGGAGACCACGCAGTCAACGGCTCCCTTCGAGCGCTGAGCCGAAAGGCTTCAATCAGAAGCAGAGGCGGCCAGCAGGAGCCCGGCACAGCCTGGGACTCGTCTCCCGGGCCCTATAAATCATCCTCGTCTTTGGGTGACCGTCTGATTTCGTGCCGAACGTTGTGTTCCACTCCCGAGCGTGACGGCTGGTAACGCACTGCCCCAAGCTCTCGGGCCGAGACTCTGTGCCCAGTGGGGAGGAGATGCCGCGGCTGCCGCGGTGGCTTAACATTTTAGGATATTTAACAACCGGCTCTTCAAGCTAGCAGAGACAGGCAGGACCCGATCCAAGGGCCGGGATTTTGAAGCCAGACAAATTCAGACCAGTAATAAGGCGTCATTGTCTAACAGTGGCGGTAATTAACCCCTGAAACAATTGACTGGGAGTCGAGGTGCCTTCTCCATTGGGGACGCTGTACATTTCCTTGGTCCTGTCTTAGGGCTGGGGGCTGGCCCGGGTGACCTTCCAGTGTGAAATTTCTGTGATTGTGCCGAGACCGCTGACTCTGAGCTTTTTGAGAGGCAACATTTGGAAGGGGGATCACCCGGTAGGTCCGTGCCCGTTCACGGGGTACGTGGGAGGCGGTAGGAAGATGAGGGGGTACCCCGCGTTGATGTACGTTTATCACTTGCGCTGGGTGTTGGGGCGAGGACCCTCCAAGCAGTTATCATCCCGCCCTTCCAGTTTACAGGTGGGGAAACTGAGGCAAGGGAGCGTGAGAGTTGAAGAAGAATACAGGAAAATCTGAAGCCGTTCTAGAAATTGGTAGTTTTGAATCCAGTCTCCAAAAGGCCGGGGGCAGACGTAGAACAGGGGCTCAGAGGCAAGTGATGAAAACGATCAGGAAAGCGCAAAAAGATTGGGGGTTTGCTTGCTCCAGGAAGGGGGCGTCGTCTATAAGGTGATAAACGGGTGAGAGACGGTAGAATGGGAGCTTCATAGCACAAGAAGAAGGGAGTAGGAGATGAAATTGAAAAGCTGGTAAATTCAGCACAGACCAAAGGAAATACTCTTCCCCCGTTGTCCTGTGGAACTAACCGCCACTGGATTTTGTTGAGTCTGACAATTTGGCAAGGGAGAACACATCCTTGCCCCTCCAGCCGCTTTCCCACTATTCAGCATCCCAGCCCAGCGCTTGGGGGAATAAAGACTTCATTATGCCCACTTCCTTCTTTCTTTGAAGAGACCTGTATGCTGCTGACCCTTTGACCAGGACCCCTGAGGTCATGTCTGAAAAATGCTACTGGGGCAGAGTGAGGGAGGGATGGAGGCAGTCTGTACCGTGCAAAGGCTTATAGCTTGCCCCACTTGGAGTGGATTTTTACAGGGATGAGACAAAGGCCGCCCTCCCTGCTACATTCGAGGTCCCTGCTCCAAAGCAGGAGGGCCGCGAGAGCTGTTCGGAAGAAAAATCCTCAGAACTTAACTAGCTTCGTTCTCAGAAACGGCTGAATTGGGTTTGGCTGAAATTTCCCGGCAAAACGCAGCCTAAAGCGGACTCCTGGCGTATGGGAAAACGTCCGCGAAGACGACGCTCGCTTTGCCAAATGTTAATTGACTGAAAACAGGATCTTCGCCTGGGAAGTGTTGAGTAACCTTAGTAATACGCCGGGCCACCAGCTCTGCGTATATCCTTATTATTTGCTGCCCATCCCTTAGGCATCTGGGCTCGTGATTTCTTGTCTGTAGTATCCCACAAGGCGCTTTTTGAAGCGTCCCTACGCGGAGCAGGTGATGACCGAGCGAGAGGCCGGCGGATTAGCACAAGACAAGTTGAATTCATTTAAATCCTGATTTAAATCACTAGTGAGGAAGACTGGATTTACGCATGGATTGCTACGTAAAAGTGCATTCTGGTTGGTTGTGATCACCTTAATACATATTCTTCACAACTCCGAGATAGATGTAGGTTCATTTGTAGACGGTACCCACTCTACATTTTTAAACGGTGATTTATTTTGAAAACGTCTCAGATGAGTTTTACAACTATATCAGAAAATGAATGATTGCTCATTTCATTTACCAAAGGTAATTGAAGCAGATAGTTCACCTCCCAGTGACTTCATAAATCTCTCCAATTCAACAGGTTAATCATTAGTATTTGGAGGATTTTCTTGCCAGGCTGTATTAGGAGGAGAACATCACCAGACAGACATTTCAATTGTTTTATTTAACTAAAACAACAACGTTAAGTATTCTGGGTTTTTTTTTCTTCAACAGCAAACATACAATATTTTAACAAAAAAGCACATGTCCCTCGCTTCTCACATTTATCTGCAGACGACTTCTCCTTGTCCAGATCTATTCCGCCCCCACAATCTTCTATTCATTGAACTTTTTGAAACTTTGCACTTTTAGAAAGAGGGATTGAGTCTGTGTACACACATTTGCACAGGGACACTAGAGTTGAGGTCTGTTATTTCTCACCTCTATATATTAATTATTTACTTAAAAACATTTTTGCTGTTAACAAGCATGTTACCTCTGGAGACACACATCCACAGTTGGAGAACTGCAAAAAAAACATCTCTGATGGTATCTTCTAGACTGAGCACTGAGTCCCATTGGGCAGATAGAAAGATTAACCTAAATCATATATACAGAAGCCCCTGAAACCCCATAAGATTGGGTCCCTAATCCATGAACTATTCAAACTCATTTACAAAACTTTTCTTAAACGTTACATGAATATATTGTCTCATACTCTAGAATTAGAATTTATAATCCCTATTCCATGATGAGATATCTCTGAGCTATCATATATCTTAATTAAAACTATCTTCAGATAGGGTTTTTTTCCCCTCAAAAAGCATTTGATCAAAAAAAAATCCGATTTTAAATAAAAAAAAATCCAAGGAAAAGCATGACGACTGTGAGGCTTCTGAGAGTCGCTGAGATCCAGCTAGGCAGCGCCCCGGGTCCATCCATCCAGCGTCGCGTCTGCAATCCCAATGCTTTGGAGAGCAAAGTGTAAGAACGCCGCGGTAACCGTGCCCCATTCCCCCATAGGTCTCGTCCCAATCTCAAACGGTTAGGGAGCAGCTCCAGACCTGAAGCCCGAGGTCTAATCCTCTCCGCATTAACCGTCACAACTCGGGCAATTCCAGATAAACCTCCAATCCTCTGTTTGATTCTGGCTACGTTCTCTGTCTCAGCGGTATCCTGAGGCAGTGAGTCCCACAGGCAAACGGTGTGTTGTCGGGGGGGGGGGGGGGGAAGCATTTCCTTTGGTCACAGTCCAAAGTTGTTACCTCTTCAATTCCGGTGGACAGCCCCTTGCCTCTTGTGTTAAGAGACGGGGAGAACCGGTTTGCCTTTTCCATCTCAGTCGGTATTTTATAGCCTGTTATCCTGTCTCCTCCCTAAGGTGCGTGACCCCAATCTCTCCTCATAGAGTTTGTCCGGGCCCCTAACGGTTCTCTGAACCCTCGTTAATTCTGTGGGGTGCCAAAGGGGAACCCCAGGGCGGGACAGGATCCATTGAGGCGAAAGGTTTGAGGGCGGAGTTTGCGAAGAGGACAGTACGACAGGTGGCCGGAGGCAGCATTGGGTGACTCCAGGCCCGTGAGTCTTCCATCCGCGTGGGGACTCTGTCGCTGTGTTTAAAAACGATGTTTGTATTCTGAACCGACGGGCTGATTTCCCTCCCGCGCTGTGCATCGCACGGGGCAGTGACCTGTTGCTTAGCCTCACGCCAACGTTGGTGAAATGCCTTGTGTGTCACCTCCTGGGGAACTTGAAGGAAGGCTGCATGGAGGGCGGGTGGAATTGGTGTTAGCCGTGGGATTAGGAGCCAGATGCTACAGCGCCCCCTGCTGACACGCTGACCACCTTCAGCCTTTGGGGGTGATCATGGGAACCTCAGGAGTCTTAAAAGCTGGGAGGGGAGGCTGGGGGGGCTGGCAGCCAGGACTCCTGGGTTCTCTCCCCAGCTGTGGGTTGGAAAAGGGAGGTACCGCAGGAACTGGGTGCGGTGAGACATGTCAGCGGGAACACGCTCTCCTTTGAGTCTCTCTTCTCTTTACACTGGGCCCTTATGGTGCCGGGTTTCCTGTGGCCGCGGACACAGCTCCATTGTCTAGCACTTAGGCCCTGCTGCGTTGACACCCTCCTCCCACCGTCTCCAGCTGCTGCCGGAGGCAGGCCTGGCCTGGCTCTGCATTTTTTTGGGGGGTGGGTGTGGGATGTGGCGGGAGCTTCCCCTTCCTAGCAGGTTGACTGCTAGCAACAGGGTGGGTCCTGCATGAACTTAAGGCCTGGTTCGAACTCTGTACAAACAAGCCCTGCCCAGCTCTCTGCTAGGACCCGGCGTCCTCTCCTCCGGACGTTAGCAAGTCTCCTTCGTTCCAGCTCCCTCCGCCCTCCCCCGCGATGAGAATCCCTCGGGCACTTTTATCGGCAGACCTCAAAGCGTTGTGGGGTACAGGTGGGGAAACTGAGGCACAGGGACGGGGAAGGTCGCTTGTGCGTGGTCACCAAGCTCACCAGCTTGCCCCAGGGCGCCCTCCCAGCCCCGGCGTGGGGAGAGCCGGCAGCCTCATGACTTTACTGGTCACTGCTTTGCGGCGGGGACCGGGGGGTGCGTTTGGTTGGCGGCTCCGTGGTAATGGTTTGCGTCTCTTCCTCTCTCTCGCAGGACGGCCCCATGATCTCCGGCGGCGAGCGCTGAGGGTCCCGGGCGAGCCACCATGGCCGGCGCCTCCGTCAAAGTGGCCGTGAGGGTTCGGCCTTTCAGCTCCCGGGAAATCAGCCGGGACGCGAAATGCGTCATCCAGATGCAAGGGAAAACCACCTGTAAGTACCCCTGGGAGGGTGGGGCGGGATCGGGCTGGAGGCCAGCAGGGCTGGCTTTTCGGGCACATCGCTGGATTCCATGCTTGGCAGGGCTTGGCTAAAATAGGGTCTGCCTGCCTCAGTTTCCCCAAACAGCACTGCCACAACTTGGGGCTTGGGGATCATTCTTCTGGGCTGCGGAAGTCAGGAAAGGAGATTCTCTCTCCACCCTCCACCCTGATCGCCCGGACGTCCCTGGGTTTTCTTCTCCTTCCTCTGAAGTAGCAGGCCTGGGCCAGTGATTTGGGGTGCCAGGCAGGTGGGTCTAACGTTCGGGGCGGGGACGGACTTGTCCCTGGGTCAGATTGGCAGAGACCTGGGAACGGTTTGGTATCTGTGTTCTGCTTCTCTCCTGCCTGGGAACGTGGACCTGCCCCGAATTCCCTGGAAGGGACTTGGCACGCCCTGACCCTGGCGTCGCAAACGGCTGTCTCTCCGGTTATACCGGCCCTGGCTCCCACTACTCCATTCCTGAGCCGGCGGCATGACCGCACCTGCCTTCTGCGCCCCCGCCGGCCTCGGGCGTGTGTTAGAGCAGCTCCCGGGCTGCTCCCACCTGCCCGACTTGCTGTGGGCCCTGGAAAGCCGGGAACGAAAACCCAGAGTGCAATGGGCGCCGGATCCCCGCCCCTTCCGCCGAGGGGGGAGTGGATTGGAGCCGGGTTAGTGTTTAAATCCTTGTACCGGGCAGCGTAGGATTAATCTTGGGGTGGCCGGGGGGAAACCCACGGTTTAACCCAGCTCTGAGCAGCTGCCTCTGGTTAACCCCCTGCCTGCCTGCCACCAGCGTCTCTGTCACGCGGGGCGTTCGTACAGCCCCAGCCGCGCTGTTAAGAGAGAGCGAAGCCGACAGCGCCAGCCCCAAGGAACATAAATCAGCCACAAGATGGCGCTGCTGCATAGTCTTATAAATTCCCCATGTGCGAGCAAGTGTTGAGCGCTTGGAGACATGCTGGGGTTGTGGGGTGGTTTTTGCAGTGTAAGTTATTCGGTGGGATCTGTTGCAAGCAGCGTGAACGTTCGCTTCCTGCTCCGCTCTCTCCGCCAGCTAGCCTCGGTTCTTGAGCCACGGGATCGGGTAGTCTGCCCCCAGAGCTCCCCCAAAATTAAGTCCCGGGCGAATTAGAGTTTCGGTCTTGTCTGAAGGGCCTGCCGGAAGGAAGTGGCCTCTCCCAACCCCAAATAATTCCCAGTCCTTAAAAAGGCGAAATGGAAAACCAGCGGCGTCGGGGTACCAAATACAACAGCTCTCCGCCCTCGGGTAACACCGAGGGACCCCACTGGGGAGGGAGTGGTCGGGCTCCTCTTTCTAAAAGCCTCTCTCTAGCTCAGGCAGGAGTGCCGGGTTTCCTGCCCAACTCCTTGGGTGAGGTTCTCTGGCCCCCGCGGGCCGTACAGGGGGTCAGACTGCACTGGTTCCTTCTGGCCTCAGACGCTCTCACTTCTCCCCATGCTACGTCGTGGAGGGAAACTAAGGCCCGGAGGTGCAGGGTCCGTGGCAGAGCAAAAGGTTTAAGGGTGAAGTCCGGAAAGGCCCCTCTCGTTAGACCGGCTGAAGAATCCAGGCCCTAAAAACGAATTAATGGGAGGATTTTTTTTAAATTTCCCTTTCGCTCCTGAGCCTGTAGGAGGGTGACACTTACGAGCGTCGTTCTGCCCCCGTGAGAACAAGAGACTCGCAATCTCTTTGCTAAAAGGGAAGCAGAGACTGCCCTGTAATTCCCATGACTCCGGCAGCTGGGGCTTTACCAACCCCCTAGCGCAAGGATGGGAATGAAAAAAGCTGGTAACAGGGAAGGTGGAAAGGGTGCAGAAGGGAGAGTGTTTCTCCCAGGCTAACTGTGGAGTGCAGGGCGTGCGCTCCCAGAGCGGGCGTGGGGGGATCTCCGAGCGGGGCATGTCCCCAGTTGTGAGATGTGGCGGTGGGATGTCTGTGTGTCAGAGACCCCTACAGGCCATGCTGGCTTGGAGACATCCAGCAGTCCTGGCTCCCAGCCCCCTCTGCTCTAAGCCACCAGACACCATTCTCCCCCTCCCTCGCAATAATGGGCTCAGGCTCTCGGCAGACTCAGGCACACGTCAGGTCCCATTTTGGCGCTTTTCCTCACAACCACGAGGGCTTAGAAATCCTTCATTGAAAAAGACTGGACCCCACGGATGTGGCGGGACTCCAGGAGCTGGAGCCCTGTAGCACCGAGGCTGGGGGAGCAACCTCGGAGCACCCTTCCCCGGGCTGGCATCCGGCAGGACCAGCTGCTGTGGGACTGCATGCCGGCTAAATATAGCCGGAACGTCCTCAACTTGTTATGGTCCTGGGAGCTGCCAAGCCGTCACTCAGCCGTCCTGGGGAGCTGGGAGGCCTTTTAAAGGCAGCCGTGTGCTGGCAAGAGCCGGCCCCACGTCAGAGCCGGGGCCCATACGGCTTAAAAGGGGGATGCCAGGGTCTGCACCCGGCTCCCTGTTCGCTGCTCAGACTCTGTCTGGGTTTGGCCTAGAGCTCGCTGCCCTCCCAGAGCCGGGGAGAGAACCCAGGAGTCCTGGCTGCCAGCCCCCCTTGCTCTAACCCACCGGCCCCCACTCCCCTCCCAGAGCCGGGGAGAGAACCCAGGAGTCCTGGCTGCCAGCTCCCCTTGCTCTAACCCACCGGCCCCCACTCCC